GATCCACCGGCAGAATCAATAAATGAAGAAGACTAACCTCTACATTTTTACATATATTGATTTTCTAAAGCAAACAAATTATTTTATATATATATATATAGATAAGTAAAATTCTAGACTTCACATCACGAACTTTTCTGGTAACTCTGCCGTGACTTCAGTGGCACATTTCCGATAACCTGTGAAATTGCTATGTTTCAAAGCAATGTGAGTATCGCAATCATCCAGAGATACAACTAATTTCTAAAATTTGTGCGTATCAATTTACCACACGCATTCTTATGATAACACATTTGAAAGCGATTCCACTGCTCATTAACAAAAAAAAAACGCTTTTGAAACTTGAAGGTTCAAGATTTAATAAGAAATCAATTTCAATAATGACATACACTTTCGTAATAATCAATAGTTATTTTGTGCCAGTTCCCATCGCTTACTTTATTTTCTGGCCATTCTGGCATTGCAAACTGAAAAAAGTGATGTAAGATTATATATAAGATTACCGCTGATTATATATGGGATTACCTTGATAGCAAATAAGTAGATCATTATTACAACAATTAGGAATTTTCTAATTTCTAGAAATAAAAGTTTAACAGGAAAAGTACACCAAATACCTTGTAAATGTCATGACCTAGAGAAAATCGCCCTTGAACAAGCGCATCTTCAAGTAGTATCTCCAAGAAATCCGATGATAAATTGCCGGTAAAAAGAAGCATCCCATTAAAATTAACTGTAGCTATGCTGAAATACAAATTTAGCTAATATATATAAGTGAATAAATTTGTAATATTCAGTTGCAATTTTTAACTATAACAACAATTTCTCAACTACAAATAAGAGATGAAGTTAATAATTATAAATAACAGAAACCTCATTTCCGTAATTAAATATGATAATGTATAGCAGTAATACTGCAGACAATCAAAGTAATACCTGAACTGCAATTTCCACTGAATTCGAGTAATCTGAACGGGCAAAGCGATATATCCACCTTGTTCTCCAAATGAAATAGAACGTAATCTACATTTTAAATCCGTGTCATGCGCCTGCCACCGACAATGCGTGCATTCTGCGGTTCGATTTTTTAATTTACATACGGAATTAGAAAAACATGAATCCGGCACGCAGTTATCCACATAAATCGATTTTTCACAATTTTTCCCTTAAATGTATTACGATTCTCCCATAAAGTTTATTGTCGCATAATGAATATAATGGTAATTTGAGAAAATTAAAGATCAGGAAACTTGCAACCTCCAAAATACCTTGGAACTTTTTATCTCATAGATATGCATTTTTTGGTCCATCAACCCCATTTACGACTTTCCAATTATTGAAATCTAATAACCGGAAAAGGTTCACATATTTTTTTGTAGACTACTGTATTTTATGGATTTCCACTTTGAAATAATACGTTATTTCAATTCATTTCTCATTGATAATCTCATTCCATCCACTTGAACAAAGTGATATTTTGCCTAATAATAGATTATTTTTATTCTCTCGAAAATGACTAATCACGATTAATTTGATTGAAATCTGTCCTACCTTACCCCATCTCTTTTCTTTCATAAACTGATTCACATCTTAAGCCTAATTTAATTTACATATCTTACAGCACTTAATTTGTTTCCAATTCTATCCTAATCTATTCTCCACCCTTTTAGAAACAATATATATTTTTGTTCATATTTTCGCATACGAGTTCGGTGAACTGCATTACTCATACAAATGCAAAGTGTATTTCACACACAATTCATAAGTGTATTTCACACACAATTCTTTATTATTAAAAGATCATACATTAATTTCGGCTAATCTCTAGTGAATGTAATGCATTAATAGGGAAATAAGATTGCAAATTCATTTTCAGCACTTATAAATGAAAAGAGAGACGTTGGTAGGAATTGAGACATTTAGTAAGAAAGCTAGAAAGCCTCTGAGACAAAGTATAATTCTGAGAAATAATTAATCAGCAATCAACTGAAAGGTCATAGTTTGAGTCATTAGCAAGCTCTTGCCTGCTACTTGCGTACTAAAAAGAGCAATTGGGCAGAACAAACCATCCATTTATATTGCTTCATTTGTTATTAATAAGTGTATTTCACACACAATTCTTTATTACTTTTTAAATAAATGCAATAGCTATCTGCAGGTTCATTTAGTTCACGACTTACCCATAAATTACAAGAAATGCACTAGAATAATGATCGAAATGTAACTAATTATTGCTTGGTTCCATTATGCTTGCTCACTTCACTACGAAAACCTATTGTTTATAAAACCGCCTATAATTTTTGCAACAGCCAACATTTCTTTACAAACGGATTGTCCATCCTAGACTATAAGATATAATTTTGGTTCAAAGATGAATATAAGCGCATAGAGTATTTAAATTTTTCTGTCATCTGCTACTACAGAATAATCTACTTTTGAGAAATGTGATAATTTATCACAACTTTCAATAGCAGTGCAACTATAAGGAAACTGAAAATGTATTTAAGTCAATATGATTTGTTTCGAAGCAGTCATGTGCATCATAGGGCGTTTCCAACCCAGATCAATAAACTGAATTTCACAGCATTGCAGGAATGACTTGGTGTGAGTAAAAACAGTTAAAAACAACCTGTCCACTGCTCTGGGCACTCACAATAATAACTGTTTTCCAAAGGTATGCAAATACCACCATGTTGGCATGGTGACGTGAAGCACATATCAAGGCGACGATCACATAATTCTTCGATCCCATCGCTACCTGGAATAGTTCCTGAATTACGTTTGCACCAAATGGAAGACAGTCGCCTTTGCATGTAACAAAAAGATTTGTTGAGTCTTTCTAAGTTTCATTAGGTGAAACCAATAGAGATATTCTAATGAAGAAAAAACAGTTTACATGATTATTAACCCACGTAGGAAAAACAAACAGTCATTAAATCTAGACTATTTTTCATTATTACAGAGAATTTGTCTATTGAGTATTTTAATAAATATCAGCAATTATCAAACTGCAAATAACCAGAAAATACATTAGCAAACTGATATTCATTATGAATATGATGTCGTCTAAATACATTTTTCTAGTTTATGCTTGTTTAGTTTCACTATACTGGTATGTGGAAACCAAATTTAGATTTATTTCCTTTATCGTGATATGCTAAAGAATATTAACTGAGATTGGAGTCACAAATAAATGAAACAACTGTATTAACCGATAGCTTCGTACATAATTCTGTATACTTTACTCACTTTCCCTTGTTTAAATAGTCATTTAGTCAAATGCAAATTCCTTTTCATTCCTCACGCTAAGTTCTATTAATTATGACTATTCATTATCGTATTTAATTAAGCATTGAGATGGCTTCAATAATAGTTGCTAGTCATTCTTGATTGCTAGATCGCTTCAGCATGTCTAATTTTGAGACTGTCGTCACACCACATCACATTTCAACTATTGCAGGCATGTTCTGCATTTGCTGTCATCCAGATCAATCATTCGCATCTCAAAATTACGACCCTACTTCACTAATGAATGTTTAATTTCATCTATGTCAGTAATCTCAAACGCTGTGCTATTCAACGTAAGCCATTCAAATCTACTTTAACTCATCTCAACTCATCCCAATTCAATCCACTAATTTCTGTTCAATTCATTCAAGCGAAAACTTGATAATATTTTGTAAAATACAGCTTCAGTAATAAAGATTATGTTACATTTGCTTATATTTTAATACATGAATAAATCACAAAGACGTTCATTTATGCTTATTTATTAATTTTTTTTATTCTTATGTAAATCTAAAATGACTAATAAATACTAAAGAGCAATGATGTGTAATTATAAAAATAAACAAATGCCTCAGCAGATGCAGAGTCAATAAATTAATTAATCGAGATGAATTTTTCCATTCTGTAGTCAGATAGATAACAATAATATTTAGGATTGCTGCAACAAGACTTCTGCATTCTCATTTTTTCTAAATTAACAGAAGCTAATAGTTTTCATACTTGAAACTGATTTCTTATATGGCACTTTTTGTGAGATTTCAATGAATACGAGTCATTTAATGAAGCTATGGCAAAAAAGCAATGAAAATGCTTTTTGTCAGTTTTAACAGAAATAATACTAGGATAAAAGCAATCTATAGTTGAAAATAAGCTCAAAAATAACCGTAGAAATAGAAATAATGTAATTTTATTATAATTCTGAATCGTAATCTCTTATAACTCTGAATTGTGATTGCTCTATGTTTTTACTCTTGATCAGCAATATTATATAGCTGTAATTTAGAAAACAAAGTGAAGTGTAGGGAAACAAACTTATAAAACCAGTAGGGCATTCACATTGAAATGAACTAACGGTGTCCAATGAATGCATGACGAAAGTATCTGTTTTGAAACTCTGAAATTCGCTCTCAATAACTGACTTCTAAATTAAAGTAAAATCGTTATACTACAGTCTGTTAGCAAAATTTCCTGCCATTTTCTGATTCCGGAAATTATTTCTCATGCAAATAAATAAGTGCAGATGACGCGTTAAATATCCTTCTAGTTAATTTCATACACTTCAGTCTTATCAATATCTAAATTTCGAAATCTTTGATCATTCTGATGACGAAATACGGCGAAGAGCAGTTTTCAGTAATTTGATTAAAATAAATCCAAATAAACTACTCAAAAGCTTGCTTACCTTTGTGATTTTTAAGTACTTTCGTGTATTTCGACACATTTGAAAATAAGGACACGGTTCGTTAAGACAAGTGGCATCTCTGTGTATTAATACTTTCATGCCTATTATATCGCTTAATTTAGCCAGTCCATTCTGGATTAAACTTTCTACTCGTTCTGATCTGAATTTTAAAGTTGTTCACATTTTGTTGATATAATGGTTTGAAATGTTACAAGCTTTAAATGAAAACTAGATAAACAAAGTCATGTTAGTGTCTACGAATTGTGTTTTATGTGTTTCTGAAACTTTTCAGATCGAAGCAAATAAAATGCATCTATAGCTGTAAGATTATGCTTCTTTTCACTTTCATGTCTTAAATAAAATAAGCATATAGAAAGTATTTAAACATAAAATATATACAAGCAGATTAAACTGTCTATTAACGAAGTCAAAGTAGCAGTCGATTAATTTGAAGAAATAAAAAACTAAAGGATAATTGAAAGTATGTGAATATAACAGGGAAAAAAACTTACCTCTGTATAGTATTTGCATGAGAAACAATAAATGACACATTCGTATATTCCTCATAAGTTTGCACGCTAAAAACCCAAATATCATCACTGTACCAGTTATCGAAAAGCGCGATGGCACTTGTAAATCGTTCAAATCTATCATAATCAAGAAGTTCTTCAAAACGAGTGTTAGGTAATCCTAAGGTGACTGTATCTCGCATTAGAGAATCATCAACAGGTATATAGATGAGACGACACTTTGCACATACAGTACTTGGCCCATCTAAAAATTTATAATCATTTCTATAATAATTATAAGCACGTCATATTTTTGAATGCAATTTCCAGTTAATTTTTCCTTCCAGAAATTAAAAGATTACAAAGCAAAGTCCGACATTCCCACTAATATTATTTAGGTCTGCTCTTACCAGAAACACAGATGTTATACATAACATTTATGTATCTCTTCCAAACATTTTTGAGTGAAATAGATCCAGTAGATTGATCTACCACCAAAACATCATTTTGTTCAATGCTGAACTCCAAAGTAGCATTGTGGTCCGGATCACTAAATATTGCAATAGCAAATTTTAATTGCATCATGATCACGCTGCACTCATCAAACTTGCACACAAATTTCGGAGCAGATCGGAAAAACTTCACATTTCAAAAAATGATTGAAGAAGACATTGTATCAATAAATAATTATTATTAAATGAGTTTTAAGTCCATTGGAATTTGTCAAAGAACAAACAAAGCTGGAACAGTTCCAATTTCTCGCTTCACAGGTTCGTGAATATGATTTGCATACAAAACAGTAAAGTCTCGAAGTTGCGGTTTGTTGTCATTGATATCACTAACGTGAACATAAACTGGTGCGATAGAACTGAGCTGACCACTGCAATAATTATTTTATACAACTCCAATTCATGCCATGCTAACGTTTGAGGACAATTTAGAACTGGTAATATATTTTTTTTAAAGAAAATACTGCTGCAGCCAACCTGCTTGCTTGAATTTCTAGAAAAAAATGATTTTTTTTGGCTTCATAATCAAAAATCGCTCGCGATAGAATATGCACGACGCCATTTTGACTCAGATCCTGAATATTTATGTAAATCACAAATAATTGACTTCGAGTGAAAGGAACGGGATCATGATTTTTCCGCTCAGTTCATAATGTGTTGCCTCAATTCAATAACTTATTAAAGTTTCTTCTTTCTAATAATAATAATGTGAGCAATTAATCATGACTTCAATCGAACTAGTACCGTTTCGATGTCGAAAAGTTTAGCATCAGCGCCACCAAATATTCGAAATTGTATTCGTGCATTGTCATCTTCATCCCGATCACGAGCAATAATGGTGCCAACTGTGGAACCCACTGGACTATTTTCAGCTATCCAAAGATCATAATGAGCAAATTCAAACTCAGGTGCACAATCGTTTATATCCATGACAGTCACAAAGACAGTGCAAAATGACGACAGTGACGGACTACCACGATCTTGGGCTTTTACTGTTAGATGATACCTTGAATGATAATAAACGGTTTTAGCAGCAGTTTTAGCAAATTTTCATGCTTTTTAATGTGTATTGCAGTTTCTAAACGAAAATTATGTTAATCGCTGTCATCTAAGTAAACTAACTTAGAGACAGTTTCACGATCCAACTTGCTAATTACTCGTAGCGTTCCTGATGAACGATCTAATTTGAAAGTACCATGATGACTGTCTTCTTCCACCAGATAATAGTCAATGATTGCATTATCACCTTCATCTACATCTACAGCTACTACCTGAGCAAATGATGTTCCAATTGGAGTATCTTCAGATACATAAACTGTATAACTTTCCGATGCAAATTGCGGGATGTTATCGTTTGCTATAAAAATTAGAAAATGATGATAAAATTTAAATCAAAAATGAGTAAATAATTCTTAAAAATTCAGCAAAGTCTTATGCATAGCGATCAAATAATGGGGTGTAATGAAATATTTGGGTATATTTCAAATAATGAAATAAGGTCCATAATCATTGCAAAACAGATTCTCAATTAATCAATCAAAATCAAACATCTCAAAAGTCATGCATCAGAAATGAAATACAGAAAATAGTTCCTCCGCTCATTACTGAGACGATGAAAATGCTCTAATTCAGCGCAGTTATGAAATAAATCAGCAGATAAATTCTAAATCGATTAGAAAATTGTAATAACTGCTTAAATTTAAAATATAATGTTGGTATCTGAAAAATATAATTTTTCAGAAAAATACAATTGAGTGATTTCTACTGTACAGAATTTAGGATTCATGGAAAAGTTTGATTTTCTCAACTGAAATGTTCTTTCTAATGTTAAAATTTTGACATATTTCATCAATTTCTATTTTTTTTAAATATTACAAGCTTATTCATAACAGATTACCAAATTCACTTTCAGGAACTTAATTTGCTAGACTTGTTCTCAAGTGCTTTCTACGCTTTAAGAATGGTGCTATGAGATGAAGCCATGGCATTATTTTTTTTTTCTCGTGTGAACCCTCACTATTTCACGCTGATTAAAGGTACCTTATAAATTTAAAAACGCAAGTCCTTTTTTATTTTTTTTCTACATAATTCATGAAGATATTGTTAATAATAGAGGAGTAAAAGTTTTTTACTACGCAAGACATTCAAAATATTGAATACCAATATTTAATACTCAGTAATAATCATGAACATTATTTGAATATTAAATACCGATTAAGTCTATTAATAACAATTCATTGTCTAAACATGATTATCGTTTTCTTTCTTCAAAATTTATTAACAATGAGAGACAAATTGGAAGAAACGAAAGAAAAAGTTTTCATGAATTTGTGTACATTTATGATCATGAAGTGACGGCATAAATCAAGTATACACGAAATGGTGATAAAATCTACACTTCCTGATTTTTTATTCAGAATGTGCAGAACTGAAATTGAAATAATTTTCTTCCATTATACAGCACTTTCAACAGTTCACATTATACTATATCCAGGACTTTTCAGTACTCAAAAAAGCTGGTCTGTGACCACACGAAAATCTTTATTGAAGTGAAAATTTTTGAGATTACATGCGAAAAAAAGTGATTATGTCACATTATAGGTCTTCGTATATGATAATTATAATAAACTGTAAGTGGAAACTAATTCCGAGAAGGCAAATAAATTGAAGGAGTAAAAAACCAACCATCATCTAAGATAATTTCCAAATAGGTACTAGCAGTTAATGGATTAACAGCATGATCAGTAACAGTGATATTAAGAAAATAACTGCTGCGTTTCTCACGATCCAATTCCTCAGCTACGGTTATTAAACCGGTGTCTGCTTTGATAGCAAACTGATCATTATCTGAGTAAAAAGTTTTATTAAATGCAGGCCAATTTTATGAAATTTGAACCCGCAGTTTTTTTTTTGGATAGTAGAGATTTATATTGGGAAGAGAAACCGAAATTTATCTGACTCTCTTCAACACAGCTTTACACTACATAATTCGTACTGCTAATGATGATATGCTTAGTAAATGATTGAATGTACCAATGGAATAAGAAAGCACTGCATTAAGATCTCGATCATGGTCTTCTGCTTTCAGTTGTATCACATTAGTTCCAACTGGCACACTTTCCAGAATATGTATAGTAAATGGATGCCTAAGAAATACCGGCGCGGTATTAACATCGGTAATAGTAATAATTATAGTACAAGTACCTATCAAGCCACCTTGGTCAATGGCCCCTATCACAACACGTATCATGTTATCTGAGTCGCTGATTTCTTTTGACAACAATAATGTGGCTCCCTAAAAGTATGCACTGCCTCATTCATATCAGGAAATGAAGACAAATATTATGAAAGCAATATATCCCATTTAAAGCAAATTTATTTGCAAAATGCAGATTTCCCTTTTTTTTTTT